CAGTGTCCTGAATCTCTTCTGCATTGCCTGAGGGACAACTTGCAGGAGGACTTCGGTACTCAGGAAATCCTGAACTTGAGCTCAGGCATGGTGTTATCAACACCTTGCATTTATATGTTGACCTGTGTTAATCCCTTCATACCTTAACACCAAATGGGTGGAAAAAAGGACGTTGTGCTTTGTGACAACATAACAGCTTTTCAACAGAAGGCATCAGCACAATGGGGAGTAATGCAGGAAATGGAGAATACTGTTGTATTCTGGGCTGGCTGCTGGAGGGGTTCAAGCAGACAGCATGCTCCAAGCTGGCATGGGCATCTTTTCCTTTGGGAAAACTGCTGTGAGTGCTTGCAAGCGAGCAGCAGCTAAGTAGTGTTCTTTGTATCATTCAGAAGAGATTCCTGGAGCAAACATACTGGGTTGTCCCTCATAATTCTTCAAGGGACTGAGGGCTATCAGGGGAATAGTTTATGCTTTTATTCCCTGTAACTTCAAAGGCCATCACTGGACCTGATTCTGCATGGCTACACATTGTCTTGCAGCCTAGGGGACTTCCCTGAAGTACAGGGGTGGTGTGAGGTGCCAGTTATCTGTGATGCAGGCAGCAGGCAGTGTCCTTTGCTGCTCAGCTGCAGGGAATTCCTCGCTGTCTCTGAGCAATCTCTGGAACTTCTGTTATCATAGGAGATAGCATCCTCAGGCACGTTCCCAATTCCTCTGTGGCTGCCTTCAACCTTTCCACTTGCTTCCATGGGGTATGACACTGGAATTTCTCTTGCCAATGTGATTTCCTCCCATTTTGTGTTTTACATATTGCCTTCTTTCCTGCAAACCCTGGAAGCCCTATCTCTGCCCATAACTCCTATAAATATCATTGCTGTGACATCATATCAGTCCAGCTCTTCATTTCCTCAGCAACTGAGTGCAATGACGTTTTTTTCTCTACATTCTCCTGCTCTAACACCCATCTCAACTTCCTGCTTTTATTTATTTTTATAATTAGTTATCAGAAAGCACCTCTACTATGAGGAAAGGTTTAGGGAACTGGGCTTGTTTAGCTTGAAGAAGTGAAGGCTCCAGGGAGACCTTATTGTGGCCTTCCAGAACTTGAAGGGAGTGTATAAACAGGAGGGGGAACAGCTGTTTACGAGGGTGGATAGTGATAGGACAAGAGGGAATGGTTTTAAACTGAGACAGAGGAGGTTTAGGTTGGATATTAGGAGGAAGTTTTTCAGCCAGAGGGTGGTGAGGCACTGGAACAGGTTGCCCAAGGAGGCTGTGGATGCCCCATCCCTGCAGGCACTCAAGGCCAGGCTGAATGTGGCTCTGGGCAGCCTGGTCTGCTGGTTGGTGACCTGCACATAGCAGGGGGTTGGAACTGGATGAGCAGTGTGGGCCTTTCAACCCAGGCCATTCTATGATTCTATGAATAGCCTCCGAGCTCAGAGACTTCTGGAGGTCAAAATTCAATGATACAAAATGTCATGCACTAATCAGGAATGGGGGAATGTCTGTGTTCTCCTGGATCACCTTATTAACAGCATCAATATTTGCTTACTTCTCTAGTGCGAGGCAGCCTTGCACAGAATCTCATCTTTCTCTATTTTTTCTCCTCTGCTCCTTTCTCTCTATCTGCCCAATATCTCTCCACTGTATGTCTGCCTTCATAACTATGGCATTGGTTCATCGTTTTTCTGGTGTTTCTGCAGCCTGTAGTAACTTTTCTTTAATCCTCAGTCTCATCTGTCCCTATTTGGTTTTAGATAACAGCTGAAAATAAAAAAATTTGCTTTCTTTCGGAACTTATTCTTTAACTGTCCCCAGAGGTGTTCAAGGCCAGGTTGGATGGGGCCGTGAGCAGCCTGATGTAGTGGGAGGCAGCTGAATGGTCTTCAAGCTCCCTTCCAACCCAAATAATTCTGTGAGTCTATGATTTTTCTCTTCCATCATTATGCATCTATTCTTTTGGCACAGCTGGGTATTTTAAAGGCATAGCATCCGGGTAAGCTGTGGACACACAGGGTACACTGCCATCAGATTGCTATTGACATATCTTAAGCTGTAGCTGATACACTTACCATTTTAAAGGGAGAAGTTATTTAAAAGGTGTATGAATTGTGGCATGCCATGAATTATTTATTTATTGCCATGATGATTCCTGGCAATAAATAAAACATCCTGGAAAATGCTCCTGACTAAAGCAGAATGGAGAAAATACTGTTCTATGCATCCAGCAATAGAATTTAAAGAGATATATGGGAAAGGATGAAGTATAAAAGGAGAGTTTCATTCTGCTGGCTATTTAATGTAACTGTGGTGGGCCCCATGCACATCCATGAGGTTTCTTTTGGTTTTCATGTGGGGTTTATTTTAAAATATCTGAAACACTTGGGAGCTAAGGGTGGGAGAGCTGTGCCTCCTAAGTCAAAATGGAAGTCTCAGCATCTGTGTGTTTACAGAAGTACTAAAAGCTGCAGTGGTTTTTCTGAAATGGGATAGCTTGCATATGGAGAATCAGGCCCAAGATAAGTCTAATATCAACTGTATGCTCTTTGGCAAGGTGATGTAGAAATAATGAATGATGGCATTGCTTTCCTCTTACAGTGACCTTCTCATCAAACACCTTACCGTCCTTCCCATGAGCAGGTGGTAATGCTGTGCTGTTCCTCAGATGGAGATGCTAAGATTAGGAGTAGGAAAATGATTATCTGTCACCTATGGAGCATGTGGCAGAGCTTCTGGGTCTTACTGATGAGTCAGGAAGACCGGGTCATCTTATTGACAAGATCAAAAGTGCTCCAAAATTGGTAAAACTTGGAGAATCACAAATGTAAAGTTTAAGTTAGTACAGGCTGTTCTGTCTTTCAACGTGGTAATACTTTTTATGGCCTCGTCTGTATGTCATGTCTAATCTTCTTCTTTGTGTGGAACTTGTCTAATCTCAGTAGAATTAAAATGAACTTTGGCATTTCTTCTAGTTTGGAAGGAAAGTTTTTACATTTATGGTTTTACTTCAAAGTTTGTTTGTTTGTTTGTTTGTTTTCCCTTACTGAAAACTGCTTTTTACATGAATGGACACAAGGCTTCTAGTTTTCAATTTCACTCTGGAATATGTAACACAAGAGAGTGAAACTGGTGAATTATTGTGCAATACCAACAGCCCGAGCCTGGTTTTGTACCCTCTTGCACATAACAGATCCCAAGGCTGAAACCTCTCTGATTTTGTACAGGTCTTATAGAGTCTGTTGCATAGAATCTGTTGTTTTTATCTTTGTGTGTGTATCTGTGCTCATAGAGATTATCCTAATCTCTGTGCAGGCAGGAATTGTCTGTTATTACACTGCCTATCTGGGTTTTGAAGTAGCCAAGTTATGTTTCTAAAAACTGATATAAGCTTTTTAAATAGGGGCTTGCTTGCTTAGGCTAATTAATGTATTCACATTTCCACCAACTGCTGTGTGTGTCAGTGTTCCACACCTGTGCAACTGGCATGGAAAATCACAGCCAGCTGTTCTTATGGGAGCCTGACTTCCCTGGTGTGGCAAACTGCTCTGCTTAGAATCACAGAATGGTTTGGGTTGGAAGGGACTTTTAAGATCATCTACTTCCAACCCCCTGCTGTAGGCAGGGATACCTCCCACTGGAGCAGGTTACTCACAGCCCCATCCAGCCTGGCCTTGAATGCTTCCAGGGTCGGGGCATCCACAGCATCACTGGGCAACCTGTTCCAGTGTATCACCACCCTTGCAGTAAATAATTTCTTTCTGGTACCTGATCTAAATCTACCCTTCCATTTTAAAACCATTTCCCCTTGCCTGTTGATACATGCCCTTATAAAAAATCCTTTCCCAGCTTTCCTGTAGGCTCCCTTCAGGTACTGAAAGGCCACTATAAGGTCCTCCTGGAGCCTTCTCTTCTCCAGGCTGAACAGCCCCAGCTCTCTCAGCCTGTCCTCATAGGGGAGGTGCTCCAGCCCTCTGATCATCTCTGTGGCCCTCCTCTGGACCCGCTCCAACAGCTCCATGTTCCTCTTGTCTGGGGGCTCCAGAACTGGACACAGTACTCCAAGTGAGGTCTCACAAGAGCAGACTAATGGGCAGAATCACCTCCCTCGACCTGCTGGTCACACTTCTCTTGATGCAACCTAGGGTACAGTTGGCCTTCTGGGCTGCGAGTGCACACTGCTGGCTCATGTTGGATCTTTCATCAGTTGACACTCCCAAATGGTTCTCCACAGGGCTGCTCTCAAGCCATTCTCTGCCTGACCTGTCTCTGTGCTTGAGATTGCCCTGACACAGATGCAGGACCTTGCACTTGGCCTTGTTGAACTTCATGAGGATGGCATGGGCCCACCTATCAAGCCTGTACAGGTCCCTCTTTATATCATCCCTTCCCTCTAGTGTATCAGCTGCACCACTCAGCTTGTTGCCATCTGCAAACTTGCTGAGGGTGCACTTAATCACACTGTCCATGTCACCTACAAAAATGTTGAGCAGCACTGGCCCCAACACTGATCTCTGAAGAACAGCACTCATCACCGATCTCCACTTGAACACTGAGCTGTTGACCACAACTCTGAGTGCCACCATCCAGTCAGTTCCTCATCCAGTGAGTGGTCCATCCATCAAATCCATTTTTCTCCAATTTGATGACAAGGATGTCATGACGGTATGAAATGCTTTGCACAAGTCCTAGTAGATGACATCAGTAGCTCTTCCTTTACCCACTGACACTGTAACTTCATCATAAAAGGCCACCAAGTTTGTCAGGTATGATTTGCCCTCAGTGAAGCTATGTTGGTTACCTCCAATCACTCATCTTTATTTTCCATGTGCCTTAGTAGGGCCTTCAGGAGGATCTGCTCCACGATCTTGCCAGGCACAGAGGTGAGACTGACTGGCCTATAGTTCCCTGGATTGTCTTTTCTTCTCTTCTTGAAAACGGGGGTTATGTTTCCCTTTTCCTATCAGTGGGAACTTCATCAGACGTGATGGATAACGGTTTGGCAACTTCATGCACCAGTTCCCTCAGAACCCATAGATAGATCTCATTGGGTCCCATGGGCTTGTACACCTTCAGGTTCTTTAGGTGGTCTTGAACCAGATCTTCACTTACAGCAAGCAGATCTGCCTTCTCCAAGTTCTTACTATTGCTTTCTGTAAGTTGGGCAGTGAGGCTAGAACCCTTGCTGGTGACAACTGAGGCAAAGAAGTCAGCTTTCTCCATATCCATCTTGACCAGCTCTCCAGTTTCCTTCCTGGCTGCTTGGACAACTTCTTTGTAATCCTCCCAGGTAACCTGTTCCTGCTTCCACTCCCTATTTACTTTCTTTTTGAGCATAAGTAAGTCCAGGAGCAATTTGTTTGTCCATGGAGCCTCCTAGCATTCTTGACTGCCTTCCTTTTTCTTAGGATGCACTGCTTTGGGGCCTGGAGGAGGTGGTCCTTAAATACCGACCAGCTTTCTTGGGCTCCTCTTCCCTCCAGGGCTTTCCCCCATGTCACCCTGCCAGGCAGTTCCCTGAAGAGTTCCAAGTCTGCTCTCCTGAAGTCCAGAGTACCAAGCTTGCTGCACACCCTCTTTGACACCCTAAGGATTTGGAACTCTGCCATTCCATGATCACTACAGCCAAGGCTGCCCTTGAGCTTTATAGTACTCACCAGTCCTTCCTCTTCGGTGAGGACAAGGTCCAGGATAGCACCTTTTCTCGTGGGTTCCTGTACTACTTGGAAGAGGAAGTTATCAACACATTCCAGAAAGATCTTTGATTTCTGGTGCACTGCATGAGGACTGCATGTTTTGTGAATGTGAAGCTGTTCCTATCTATTTATAGAAGGCCTCATCCACTTGGTCTTCCCAATCAGGCAGCCTGTAGCAGACCCCCACTATGATGTCTCTTTCCCCTGCTTTCCCTTTAACTCTAACCTTTAAGCTTTAGTGTCTTTGTCTGGAAACACCAAACCTCAGTGGAATTTGGGTGGGGTCAGTGTGATAAAGGACATCTCTGTCCTCTTGTCTTCCCCCTACCTGGAGGATGGACCCCAGTGGCGTTAAGAGAAATGTCCCGTGTCTTGCTTCTTGCTCTGCCTGGGCTTGGTGTGGGGACACCCGTGGTAGAACCGGGCTCTTTGCTGCCCTGTGCGAGCCCTGTTTGCAGCTATAGGTCCTGCTGCAAGCCTCATGCATTATGAATAAGTCATTGTCTTCTAATGTATTGTTAGCGGTTCTTGTTGAAAGGCACTGAAAAGGCTGTTAGAAGCGCTGGGCTTCATCTCCCTCTGCTGTGCGGACTTCCCCATCCTGTGTCGTGAGGCTTTGGGCAGTGCTGCTTTAGCGATTTCTTTATTTTAAAGTGAATTTTGCCCAAGTTGAAGCCGCACGCCGCGTTCTGCCCGAGCGCATGGTGCCTCGCGATGAAGCAGACGGCTCTTTGCCAGGAGCGAGCCGCACACTTTGTGTAATTTACCCTTCCTTTTGGCTCGGTCGGGCTTTTAATCAGCGCCAGCCCGTTCCCTCGTGTTCGCGTGTGTGTGTGTGCAAGGGAGAGGGCGGCAGAGCGAGGAAGCTGTGCCTGGGCTATGCTGACAGACGACTTTCCCCTCGGTTGTCAGGTTCTGAGCCTGCTGGTAAGTGAGGGGGGAAGAAAAGCCCACGCCGGGGCTGGGGGAGCGATGCTGAGCCGGCTGGAGGAGCGGCACGGAGGGAGATGCCGCCGGTATGGCTGTGCAGGCTCCCCGGCTGCCCATGCAGACGGCTCAGTTGGCAGCGAGGGATTTCCCTTTCCCCTCCCCTCCGTCGCTAAAGATCCTTCAGCCAGTATTACTGGTTGGATCCTTGCTTTATTGTTGGTATTTTTTTTCTTTTTTTTTTTTAATAAAAGAAAAATCCGTGCGGGTTTGCTAGTCCGGAGCTGAGCCGCTAATCCCCTGGGTCTGCCCGATGATGCTGGCGTGCCCCCCGCGTACACCTGAGCGACCGGGGAGGGGGGAGAAGGGGCTGCCAGAAATGTTGGCCACTGGCGGGCAGCCCCGTTAAAGGTGGAGCGTGTGCTTGGGGCAGCCGCCCATCATCGCCGAGCCATAACCGACGCGGTAACCTGCAGCCATGGAGTCGCCCACGAAGGAGATTGAAGAATTTGAGAGCAACTCTCTAAAATACCTGCAGCCAGAGCAGATAGAGAAAATCTGGCTTCGGCTCCGAGGCTTGTAAGTAGCACTTTTTTTTTTTTTCTTTCCCCCACGACCTTCTCCCATTTCCTCCCATTGTCAAAATGATTGTAGCGCTTTCCTTTTCCTTTCTTGTCGGTACCTTCAGAATGACACGGGAGTTTCCACACCTGTTCTCCATAAATACAGTGACTTAATCTCAGCAAAGATCCGCTTGCTTCCTTAAATGAAACCCGCGTGTTCCGCTGAACAAACATTCTTAGCGGGCACGTAGAAATGTCATTAATGAGACGCGGTAATTTAGCAGCAGTTTTGTGAGATGCTAATTACTTTTGCTGCCGCGCTGAAAAAGTTTTGTTGTTGCCTGGAATGGAACCTAATTGGGTCCTCCGATTTGAGTAATACTACAATTAGCTGCAACCTACAGAAAGGCTTTTTTTCCCTGTATGTGTACACCATTTCTGGCACTGATGCAGTTAGCAAGGACAAAATAGGCAGAGAAAGCACAATGGGAAGAGATTTCCACTTCTGGCAGCAGCAAATTCATCTTGCGCAGATCAGATCGTATTGATTAGTTGATATGTTTGTTGTTAAGCCTGACTTGTCATGAAACGGTGGGACGCTGCTTCCTGTGCTTAAAGAACAACTTGGGACTGGTGAAATGTGGAAGTTTACACACTGTAGAGCTTGTGTAGCTTATTTAGAGTTAATGTCTGGCATCTTTTTCAGAGTCCCAGTATCCAGAATGCTGTCTACCGGCAGTAAGAGCCACTGTTGGCTGCAAAGCATTTATTTGCCCATCAGTTTTTGGCCCAGCCAAAGGGGAGCACTGCATGTTAAGCTGCATCCCTCTCTGTGTTCAGAACTGAGGTTTCTGGGTTGTGTTTCTTTTTTTCCCTTTAGTTTCTCATGTTAGAGAATGTTTCAGCCTGCAGGGTGTGGGGGGGGATGGAACAAGAAGGATAGGAAAGAGCAGAACTGGGAATACGTAAGAGGAGCAGGCTAAAAAAGGACAACAAAGGGCTCCCAGTTAAACTGGAGTTGCTGTGAGAGTTGTTTAGCGTGAGCAGTGACGGCGTATTTTGTAAAGCATATTCAAAACTTCTGTAGGACTCCAAGCAGAGTAAAAGTCACGCATGAATATGTATTTCCTTCAAGGCGTCACTCCAGGAAGCCTATTTTGTGAAGGAACTTAATCAAAGTGGTTGACAGCTGTCTTGTAAGCATTCCAAATAGAACAGCCACACAAAACAAACCCTCTTATTTTCACGTCTGTGCCATGCCGTAGCATTAGGAGTCGTTGCATTTCTATCTAATACGGAGTTTAGCAGCCTGCTGATTTGGATCACACCTGAAGTTTTGCAGATAATTCCTTAGCAGCAGAGTAGTTCAGGGTCTCTCTTGCCTTCTGTGCAAAGCAGTGACTGCTTATTATCTGTCAGATAATCTGTCAAACTCCAGGCTGTTCCACCTTTGGGAGGCTTGGCAAAACTGCAGGACTTATTCTATGTTTGCAGTAACTGAACTTCAGGCTGTTTCTTGGTATAGTCCTTTGTGTTGGCACTGTGTGCGTGTAACAAACACACTTTTTCTTCCTGAGTTTCAAGATTTCTTTGCTCATGGAAGGGCAAAGAAGAAAGAAATTGGTTTTGCTCTAAGTAAAGACTGTAAATTTTCCATCTCCAGTCATTATACGCATACACACACACACTGGTTGCAGTCTGAGGTTTAGCATCATACTTCATGATTTTTCTTGTCCTTTCTTATTCACATCTGTGTAAGAAGAATGAGTCCATGTGCGCAGCCATCTCAGAAGCCTTGTAAACAAGGCGCTTCATTCTGCAGAGATCAAATACTACTCGAGGAGACATCACTCCTTGCATCTGGTGCACTGACAGAGCAGTGCTAAGCAGGCACTCGGGGCAGCGTGCTGCCAGAGACCTGTAGGCTGCAGCAGGCAGGGACCCAACAGGTTATTGCATCTTGCCACCTCTCCTGCACTGAGAAGGGCCGTGATGATACAGACAGTCCCAGGTGCTCAGCGTCAGGTTTGACATCTCCTTGGTACGACTTCACCTAGTGCAAGGCTGATACCTTCCTCCCCGTCTTCCCATCTCCAGCATCAGCTGGTGTGTCTGCTCCCAGTGACTCAGAGGAGAAACCAGCATCCCATTTCCCAGCCTCTTTCAGAACCTAGCTTTTCCAGGAAGTGGGGTCTTTTAAATTCCCCCGTCTCAGCCCGCAGAGTTGAAAGGGAATGGAAATCCAAAGGCTGCAAAGAGGTGGTGAAGCTGAGGCTCTTTCCAGACTCCCATAATTTAGTGTTTTCTGCTTAAACAATTCTGGCAATAGCTCTTTTGCCATATGCCCAGTAAAGTTCTGTCCCACAGGCTGGTTGCCTTTGGGTGTATATTTTCAAGGAACAGAGAAGCCTTTTGGATGGTGTGCAAAAGGCAGGCTTTGAGAAGCTGAAGCATGCGTCTGCAGCATGAGTCGTATGTTGCTGTAAGAGGCAGACAAGATATTGAACTTGCCTGTGGAGTGGATTGAAAAGATTTCCTTCTTGGTTTCATTATACATCTCTACAGCATGCATTTCTTGGTTAGGACAATCTGGTTGTCTTGTTTGGATGAAGCAGTGGTTCTTGGGCCATATACAAATTCCTTTTATATTTAAGAAAGAGCTAAAATATCTATGTCATAAAACTTCCAAAATATTTTTACTTGACATATACATATTCGTGACTTAATGATTCTGTGCAGCAATGTACGGAAGAAGTCAGTGAACCTGCAGTGGGTTAATTAAACCCACAGGTTTAAGGCAGTGTGATAAATTGCCTCATTGGAGGCAAACTCATCTGTGGCAAAATTCTTGGGTGTCTCGTATGAGAGACCTAAGTAACAGGTGTCAACTTTCATACGTGCCCTGTGAGATAGTAAGTTTGATCACAGATCAGAATGAATCTTTTAGTGTTCTATTTTTAATAAACGTTCATGAAAGGTTTCTGAATAAGCTGTCTCCTGGGCAAAAGTGCCACCAGAGGTATTTGAAACTCCCTGGGGAAAATCTTGCCAGTTGACTTCTGACCACCTTGACCTTTCATGTCGTACCACAACATGAGCAAGGAGTTTACTCCAGAGCTCTTCTTATAGGACCTCACTCAATCAAAACATGTTCCTGTGCAGCCATCAGAGACCTTTCTTTCCTTGGAATGAACGAACCAGATTTCCCTGCAGCATCATCCTCCTAGGACTAGACCTGCTTCTGAGTTTCATTGTCATCATAGATGAACCAGGCTTGAGCAGCTTCCTGTCCCTTCTGGGGTATCTTAGATGTTGGTAGTAAGAAAAGAGAGCCTGCAGAGCTGCATATGAAACGTGCTGACAAGCTGTTACATGAGAATGCTGTCTTTAGCTGTGGCAGTGCCTCCAAGCTCCCTAGTCCCATCCTTGCTCCTGCCTGGGAGTCAGGGTGGGAGAAAGCAGATTGCCAAATATAGGGGAATGAGCAGAAAAGTCGTGGAGAAAGGTGTGTATGCTCTAATGCCTGGGGGTGAGAAGGCATTAAGTCCTGAAGGGAGGCCTGCCCCCAAACTCCCTGCCCTTATGCCAGGACAGCCCCTGGGGACTTCTGACTTGCATTTGTCCTGCATCAGTCTGAGCATTGCCTATCTCTGACAGCTGCAGAAAGCAAAAAACATGCCTTGCCAGGGGCTTCCCCTCCCAGCTGCCTGAGGGGTATCTGCATTTTCCTCCTACTAAACACGTTTTTAATTCATGAGCAAATCTCTTTTGTTCCTTGGCTGCTGCACGGCTGCAGGGGTGTCCACTTGTGATCTCATAGGGAGACTGCCTTTGAACAGCTTCCTATTATTTCCTAGCTGTGTTCACCCACGAAGGCAGACAATCTCAGTCTGCAAGGAAAAGTGTTCCTGAAGGATGTGCTGATTGCTTGTTTATGGCTCTCAGTAATTCCTTCTGCTGGAAAAAGGGACTCGTTTTTTGCTCTTTAGTAAGGGCCACGTTCTGTCTTCCGCACTCCACAGGTCCTCTCCATAAGGCTGGCTTTTTTTCAGACTTGCCTTAACCAACTCCAGCTTGGACACTGCATACAGAGGAGTTACTTGTGAGTCCACCCTGCACTCTCCTACAATAGCCAGTAACCCATTCTGTTACGCACAGGACTTTCTGCCCTTCATCCATCAATGTTTATCTGGGCCTATTATGGAGCACTAGTTGTGGCAGAGTTTGGAGACCCCATTTCAAAACACGACTGCATGGTTGCTTTTTAAGCTGGTGGTTTCTCCATGAAGCAATGAGCAGTGATGGCTGTGTTGGGATGTTCTTGTCATAGCACTTGGACTCCCAGCTGCAGGACTGCAAACTCCTATGTGCTATTTAGGGCTCTTGAAGACCTATGAAGTGGCCTAAGTTACATTCCAACTTCTCACACATGGAGAAAACACCTGAGCCCTTTTCAACACTAGGATTATGTGTTGTATCTGATGGTGTTTAAGAATGGAAGGGCATCCGAAGAGCTTCATTTGAGCTGTGATGGTTTAGGGCAGCTAAAGACCCAGCTTGGAGGTATCTTCAGATTAATTCTTGGTTGTTTTTTGCAGAAAAAAAAGAAAAAAGTTGATTTTTAGCTGTTAGAGTATAACCAGGATCTGCTGGTGCCCCTGCAATAGTTTAAGAATTGCAGAGGGAGAAGAGACAAAATGTACTTTAACTTTCTTCCTGATAGCTGGGATTATAATGTTAAATTGCTAAATTCATAATAAATCCCTTCATTCTCAGTTTAGCCCTTCCTCACGCTGCCAAAGATGAAACTGCAAACAGCAGCAGTCTCTGAACTAAGACTCAAATGGGATATTTGACTTTGATCTCATCTATCCGGCTGTCCTGCTCAAACCTGTCAGTGTTAAACTGGCCTAAAAAATGTGAAGGGGAAGGAAAATAGAAACAGACATGAATCAGTGAGTTTGAAAAGTTCATGGTTTTGCTGAAGATCCGGAAAGATATTTCAGCACATAGGAC